TTCCTATAATTTCAATAAGAAATGAATTCGGGGTCTTAAAGGAAAGAAACCACCAATGGATGAAATGGTTTCTACAAGTGTCAATCACAGTAGACAGCAGAAATCCCTTAGATTAAGTGCCATAAATCACAGAATCGCAGAATAATTTGGGTTGGAAAGGACCTGTAAATGTCGTCTTGTCTAACCTCCCTGCAGTGAGCAGGGACAATACCAGTGTTTAGATCCAATGCAGAATCTAGGCCAGTTTTTATTTCAGATAGGTAAGTACATCTGCTTCCCAGGAGATTAGGCTTCAGAATTAAATCAGATTTCTCTTTGAAAACTCGGCAAAAGTCGTGACCTTTGATGAATTTACTGTTTATAGCACATAAACTGTAATAACTGAAACTTGTCATTGCAACGCTGTTGGGCATAGGCTGGAGATGGTATGCTAAAAACTTTGTTCGTACCCTTTGCCTCTTAGTTCTTCAGTCCACCTGTACATGTCTCTTCATAAACCAGGCTGTCTGTTTTCTCTAAAACAATAGCATGGCACTGAAGTTATTAACTCCTGTTTGTTCAGTCAGGCACATTTTAACTTACAGAATAGTGACTTGTAAATGCATACTGTTCTGTATTTATATTTTGCCTCATTGTAATACTATTCCATTATAATAATATTGCAGACAACTTCCCTTCTTTCTTCCCCCCACCGCTGCAATGTTATGTGATGAATTGAAGCTGTGGATCACACCCAAACTGAAGTATGCAAGAGCATATTATATGTTTTCAATATCTTTGAAGCTGTAGGCAGGTTAAAAGTCATGACAACTGAAACATATGGAGATGGTTTTTATCACAACAGCTTCTTGATATACAGATCTGTCTGGTATTCATTGAACTAATTAGATTAAACAAAGGCTTTCCTGAGATAATCACTTTGCAAGCCCTTTCCTATATTACAGGGCCCAGTTTTAGTTGTTGCTGAGGGTCAAATGCTATCAGCTAATGCTCAGTGTCTGAATGCATACTGTTCAAGCAGATGTATAAATTAAATTGAATGACACAAGATTTATAATTGCTGGAGCTTTGACTCTTGAGGTATGAGTGTGCTTAAGTGTTTTAATATTAAGAAAATTGTGTTTCCTTGTAGGTTAGTGAAGCAAGTATTAAAGGTAAATGTAATCTTAGGAAAAGCTTGGATAAGCGTCTAAGGTAGGCTAGGTCCTGTGCGTCTGGGCAATAGTAATTGTGCCACCAGAGAAACACTTCAAAAAACATGTTGCAGCTTCTAATTTGGTCAGTGCAGAATGTTCTGGTAGCACTAAATAGATAAGTAATCTATAGTCTCTTCATGCTTTGGTGGGCATCTTTACATGTAGACTTCTGCTTAGAGCTTTTCCTTTCTCCAGTCCAACTACAGAAGCTTATGATATTGAACTTCCATCACGGGCAGAGTTGTCTAACCTTTGTTTAATGGGTTATGGGTTTGAATTAGTGTCTTTGTTTGGTAAAAAACACAGTCCCTTAGCAATAAACAGTGATTTGATTTGGGTAAGGAAGTTATTCCTCATAAGCAGCTACAATGATATGATGTGTCAGTGAAGTTACTACAACCAAAGAGCAGCAAGGTATTCTCAGAGATATTTATATAAGTATCTGAATCCTATCTATGAGAGTATGTGCTGCTACTGAAATTGCCTCTGCAGTTCAAGTTTTTTAGTCACTTTTGTGTGACAGAGAATAGCTTTTAAAGTTATTCCTAGTCTCAGTGATATAAAGGGATAAACCAAGTGTTGGTGATAAAGTATTATCCAAAAGTTGATGTGTCTAATGAAAGGTAGACATCTTAATAATTTTGTATGCAGCTTGTTTAAGCTGGGCACTAACACAAAACTTCAACTGAATTAAACTTTAAATAGGCTGAAAATTCAGCATTGGTGTATAAATGAGTTTTAGCATGATAACTGTTTCCTGAATTTAAAATTTGAGATATTAAATTGGAAGATTGAGGTGAGTTGCTTTAAACTATAGTGCTTCAGAGCTCATGCTATTCAGTTATTTCAAATGACTGATGCAATAACTGAGAACTGAAACACAGGTCAAAACAAATAAAATATTTCATTAGTTGAGAAGATAAATACTATTAGATGATCTTTTAGCTTTAAAATGCGCTTCTTTTTATGCTACTAAATTTCAGTTGTAATAGTTTCACTATGCATCACCACTAATGTTACAAAAGTGGACCCTTGGAACTTGCTGTAACAAGAACTGATTGAATGTTGCAAGATTTTACATCAAAACTGCATTAAGGATATTTCTTAAAGAAAGTTTCTTTGCTGATTCCTACAGAAAAATCTGTGTTAGACTAAGTCCATCCTGTGCCTGTATGACAAGCAGCTATTGTGCTCTCTGTTGAAATGTCTGGTAAAAATGGACTACTGAAGCAGATGCTGGTCTGATTTTGTGTAAAAATTAATAATGCTTAATCAAATTTTTGTGATCTGGAGCAACACTGCACTTGTTCCATATTCAGAATTTGAAGTCTTCACGCTGTTCCTTTCAATTTTCCGTAGTTCTTTGCTAACATGGATGTACCAAATAATTTGTGTGACTACTAGAGCTGATCTGTATAACTGCACTGTTTTTGTAGTTAATGAATGCTTATTGAATTTGCCTGTGAACCCTAAGGGTCCATTGGTATGTTAAGACAGCATTTAGAGCGTAGGAGGACTCCCTTCACTATAAACTTATTAATTACTAGTCTGGATTATTACTTACTAGTAAAAATTTATATAGATGCATGGAGAAGTTAGAACTGGAGTGCAAAGCACACTGAGTTGTGACTAAGCAGGGTGACTGCTCTTCAATTTAGTTGCATATGAAAGCAAGTTCGGCCCATTCTATGCATATATATGGAGAGAGAAAGCCCTAAAACTTTTTGATGACAAGTGAACAGTGATTAGAGCTGTAGCTTTTCCTATCCTTTTCTCTTGGATTTGGGTGTATTTGGGCATCAAGTACAGGGCTCCTGCTAGAGGCTTGAACAGAGCTTTGCTTAATTAAAATTAAATCAAGTTTGATGTAATTGGTTGTGGGGCCTTCTGCTTGGTCTATTTTTGCCTAATTAGCAGCTGCAGCATCTTCTCCATAGCTATACAAACTCATTTGCCTGATCTGCTTCTTGTTACACTGTCATAGCTTATGATCAGATGCCAGCTGATAAATCCTCCTAGGCTACCAGCTGGACAACAACATCTAGCTTTTGGGTATTAGATAACAATGTGACATGTCTTTTAAAGAAAACTCTTTCATACACGGTTTGCATGAAATTCTTTACATGCAGAACAGAACTCATTAGAGTCTTAATCAAAACTTCATCTTAGCGTGCAGGTTAACACTATCATCATGGACTCTTCAACTGTTGCAACATTTTCTTGCAAGTAACAGAGAAAACAAGATTTAAAATTAATTTTTAAATTAAGAGCTTTTTTGATGTTATAGAATATTGGAAGTTTTAAGCATGTGAATATTGATTGCTTTATGCTTTTTGTCACTCTCTGGAGAACAGCCATGGACAGTGGCTTTCTCAGAATCTCCTGTGACAGGAAGAGAAGAGCAGTTGCAGTTGTAGAAGTGGTAGTTCTGCCAGAGATGGACCTGTCACTTGTGGTTAGGTGACATCAGTTCAGGGGTTTACAGTGTCAGTGGCTGTTCTCAGGGCAAACAAAGTACTTTGGTAAAGTGGCGTGGTACTTTAAATGGTAGATTTAGTATAGCTGCAACTGATTGTTTCCAGAGCAGAAATCTGAGTCTTTCCTGGAACCAAGACCCAAATTTCTGGTAATTGGGTGCTTATACCTTTACTTCAACATAGACTCAGCAGTTCAGCCAAACAGTCCTCTAACCTGGCAGGGAAGTAGCTAGAAATCTTTTGTTTGCTGATGCTTTGCCTTCATATTTTGCCTTTGCTAAGCATATGACACCTGAGGGTATTGTTGACCTGAAAGTGTCCAAGTTATTGTTCACCTGAGTCTGGCAGTCATGTTTTGTGGGGGAATATGTTGTTACATGTGCTCATTACACTTCATTATGCCAATAAAGTTGATTTACGTGATCAGAAGTCTGGTTTTGGCACACAGCAAATCTTCACACAGGCATGAGGAGTTTGTACACTGTTGTGTAGCCTCATGTGTATGTGCAAGATATGTCAGCTGAGCAGGGATTAGGAGTAGAATTAGCTATAGAGTCCTGTGGCTAGATGATAATTTCTCAGCTACAATACATTGATCATCAGATGGAAGAACTGCTCTCAGTCTGCTCATCCCTTGTGCAGAAAGGTGGTATTGTGCAATTTAATTCTTCAAAGAATTAAATGGAGACACTCTGCAAGGCTTGAGCTGTGATGAAGTGGGCTAGAGCAGGGTTAAAACTGTATGGACGTGAAAAATTCATTAAGAGCTAGGTCTACCTGAAGATATAATCCAATTTAGAATACAAAAGTATTTCATGTGTAAGCTAGCTTAGTGTTGAAGTTTTTTCTTGAAGTTTGCACAAATGAATTAATGGGAACACAAAAAAAAAAATTGCTCTTCCCAAACTCTGAGGTGAGGGCATCATTGGAAAGTGGGAATTTTTAACCTGAGCATGTTCTTTCCCCATGTGACATCACTAATGGATGCTACAAGCTCCATTTCCCTGGAAACAGATTTAATTTTAGGTATTTTTAAAGGTTGCTGCTTGATGATGAACCATACGGACATTTGAAGGAAAATGCCAGTGTTCAAGGCAACAGTTGTTACAAAGTTAATGATTTAAGGAAATCCAATAATACAAGGTTGTTTTGGGGTGGGAAACATCCATTTTCTTCCGCTCTTGCCTGCGGAATGCAAACTGAAAATATTATAGGAAATTAGAGAAGAAATTTGTTCTGTAACCTTAGTAGAAAGAATAGGGATTGTCTTACAATGCATTTCAGTATAGATGTTATGTAACTGAATGTGTATTTATTCTCTCCCTAGACTGTACATGCCTTTTGGCTTCGGGGAACAGAACGCACCATGGGACACCCTCAAAGATATCTCTCCAGACGGGCTCTCTTGCTTGGGTGATGTGTCTGCTCTCCTGACTGTCTTCATACCCAAAGGATTTATTTTCCTTTTGGAAATATTTTAAGTTGAAATTTTGTTCCTTGCTGGAAACTATCTACGCTAAAGACTGCATGCATCATGGGTGACATGGCAAACAACTCGGTTGCGTATAGCAGCGTAAAAAACGCTGTAAAAGAAGCTAATCATGGAGATTTTGGAGTTACTCTTGCAGAGCTCCGTTCTCTTATGGAACTTCGAGCTGCAGATGCACTGCATAAAATACAGGAATGCTATGGTGATGTACATGGCATCTGTACAAAGTTGAAAACTTCACCAAATGAAGGTAAGTAAATTTTAACACTCATTATTGGGGAAACTCCATTTATGAAAAGCCTTAGTCAGCAAACTGCTTTTTACTAGAACAAAATTTGTAAAAGCATTTTAGTGACCATAACAAAATATTGCTTCTTGTTCTTTTAAGAGAGAAGTATTCCATGGTAATAAGTAAGCAAGAGTTTTTTTTCAGTTGGTCTAGCTGCATGTGAGATGTTGTATTAATGAAGCTGCACTTGGAACAGAGTTCATTGATGTAGACATCCACATATGAAACAGCAGTGCAACACAGCAGTGTTCAACTCACTGTGAAAGCATCAGTTTTCTGAGTAGTTCATATGACCTATAGTTCACAGTTCAGATCATGCTGTTGTAGAGCCCAGGGTTTTAATATTCTAATGCAGGGCTTATTAATGCTTCTGTGTGGCTACCTAGTTCTTGGATTTGCTAATGCAGCAATTTTTAAAACTGATTACATGTTTGTGTTACGTTGGATTCTTAATAGCAGGATCTAGTTTTTAAATCTGCAGTATTTCTGTAGATCTCATTTGAGCTATGCAAGATAACTATCAATATAACTTGAAGCATTGACATTTACTCTTAGTGGAAGGTTTGCAAAGTGATTACACAATCTTACTCCTTAGAAATAAGCATCTCTGATGGAGTCTTTGTTTGACTAAGTGGCATTCTGTAAAATGTGGCTACACTGTGCTTTTGCTATCTAGATTATTACTCCAAGATAGACTGTATAAATGTGAAGAAATAAGTAAATAAATTTATTAAGTCTCCTTCTCGAGAACCCTGCAGAAGTTCTCCTTAAGACCTGGCTTTTTCTTACTGCTTTCTTCCAATGAAGTACTGCAGTATCTACATACTGTAGTACTTGCAGTAAACTGTACTTAAATAAAAATATGTAAAAACATTAACTGAAACACACTGTGAAGTCCTGCTGTTGAGAGCAATTGAGAATTACCAAAATCAAGATTTTGGCAAATTGTAGTGTCTCTGTATTTAAGGACTCACACAGATTTTAACCAATGTGGTGTCATGTCGGTAGCAGCAAAGCACCTCCTGTCTTAAACCTGGAGAGCCGTTGCTTTCTGTTCTTCAGAAATGCTATGGAAAGATTTGTCTTCTTGGACCAAGAACAGCCTACTAATGCCGTAAGGTACCTCTGGGTACATCTGCATTTAGCATGTTTTGGCTTGATCTGCTTTTGAAGCCAGATTTCCAGACTCCTGAAATTATCAGTAGATGAATTGTGTTCCTCTTACCAAACTGAAAGTAGCCAGCTGACATGGCTGAACTACCAGTGAATGGGAGTAGACCAATTTCAGGATGAAGAAGTTTGTAAATCACAAGGAGTACAAACTTCTGTCCCTTGGCAGTTGTAAAGCACAGTGCATGTGTGTGAAGCACTGTGGTGTATAAGCAGCGTAACACATCTCAGGAGCAATAGGCTCTCGTTACCCTGTTGACCTGTTGCATAGTATGGAAAGGCAGTTTCTTTTCTCCGTGAAAAGGGAGATAGTTTTCTACAACTGGGAATTGAACCGAGAGTTGAATTCTGTTGTACAGTGATCTGCAAAGCTAGAGATCCATTTTTAGGGCAAGCTAGGTGGACATACAATTTTACATAGCCACAGTGCACTAAGCACCAAACACCTCATATACTGCAGGATTTATGTTGTCTCTTAATATAACAAACATGCAGATTACTAAACCTGTCATGTGTCTGTGTACTAAAACTCAAGGGTTGGATGCCCTTTCCTGCAGACTGATTGTGCTGTACTGAGGGCTGTGTGATCAAGGCCTTTCACTTTCAAAAGGATTTGACATTTAGATGTACACTAAAATCAGTTACATACAGTCACTGACCTAATAGAAGGGCACTATCCTTTTTTAAGTGTGAGAGAAGCTCATAAACACACCAAAGACTCAACTGTTGAACATGTTAACAGGCTCAGAAAAGGTTAATTGAGTTAGAACAGCATCCGACAGAGGTGTCATTTTGACTCTAAACCACAACATGAAGTTTTAGAGAATCAGCCTCTCTGTCAGGTAACCTGCTATAAACTTTCTGGAGGTAGTACTGGAGAGCTCTTGTAAAGGTAGAACTAGGTCTCTGCTTTTGTCAAATTCTAACCGTAAGTATAGAAAGGGAGGCAATACTAAAGGAGAAAAGTCTAGGGAAGATCTTGCAGAAAACTGTTATGCATTATGCTAATACTAGCTCTCTAAAACCTCGTGTGTATTCCTGCAGGGCCCTAGGACACTTTTTCCTAATCATGTTTCCTTTATGACATGACACTCTTACCACTATGTAATTACCAGGGGCTTCACAGGAATAGTACAGGTAGTTCTGACATGGTGCACAGTGGATGAGTTCAGCTTGTTCCATTTCTTGCTGTGAAGTTGTTGACAATGTAAGAAAACATCTATTTTCAGGCAAAATTTGGATCAGACTTATCTGATTTGAAATGAGAAATGGGAACGATCCTTTACCAGTATTACTTTAAAAAAGGACACTGAGCAGACTTTACTGCTTACGTAAACTTTACTGCATATGTATGCAAATATGCAAAAAGAATGTTTGACATATCTTTAGTAGAAAAAGTCTGTCTAATATTCTGAACAGATATAGATATTTCTAATAAAATTTGAATATGAAGCATTAACTAGTCCCTTGTCTAATATTTTTCAAACTTAACCACAATTAATATAAACTAGTTAAGGTGCATAATTAAGAATATAATGGCAGTAGTTTTGATCTCAGGACTGTAGATTGTGAACTGTGAAATTGCCAGCTGTCTGGTAAATGTAGCAAGTTCAGTAATGGTGCATGGTGTATTATAGTGCATATGGTTTATAAATGTATATAAATGGGTTTTATATTTGCTAGGTTTATTTACCAATCTTCACTAAGTGGTTCTGATAGTAGCTTGACTTTATATGGCCTCATTTTGAAGCACTTTTCATTTTCAAAGACCTTTGTTGTACACTTCTGATGTTCTGCACTGTAGTACCCTGGAAAGGGAGGAAGAAAGTGATGTTGCTAATATTATGTAAATAAATTTCCAAACTCTGCCATGTTAAAGGAAAAGAGAAGTAATATCTTTTGCAAAATAGCAATATGGCCCAGCCTTTTGGAATGACCACGCTGTCCTGAGTTTCTGTAGATCCTGTAATGTATAGCTTGATTTTGAAAATAGTCTTGCAGTGCTCTTTGAGTTGCGAGTGAAAGTAAGCACCTTAAAGCTTGAACTGCAAGAAGTGTAAGGTTATGGCTAATGAGTACAATTTCTCCTTTCTATTAAACCTTCAAAGACGTGAATTCAAGGTGAATTGAAGACTGTTGGAATAAATGTAATATATCATATACACAGAGTATGTTTAGTTTCTCTTTTGAAGAGATCTGCATATAGTTTGCTTTTCAGTTAAGCGATTCCATAGCAGTTGTTAGCATTTAAAATTGAGCTTTGCAGTTCAGTAACTTTTTCAAAGTGTCTTGAAATATGTGATGATTCTCAAAAATGTCTGTTAGATGTGTTAAATACCCCCATTATTATGAAAGCCAGCTGCAGTGGCTACTGTTCTTATTTATTACCTAGCATGTTTGCAATGCATTTATCACTAAGCAGTTGGGTTGGCTACTAAAAAAAATTGCTACTAAAAAAATGATTGTCTTTCAGCTGGTGCTAATCATAACCTTGAGGTCAATATGATTGAAGTACCCAGACCTTTGCTCTGAACATGCCTTGAAGTTTGGCAATTTTGATTTGAAAAATGAGCTTAATTCTGAATGGTGGGTTAGTCAGCTGGAAATTTTTAGAGGAGTTGCCAGGAGATGTGCTCACGGAAGACCTTGAGTGCATGACCTTGCACTGAAAATACTTGGTATTCCTTTATTTTTAAGATCTTGGCAAGCTCTTGAAACATGCTGTAGCCTTTCGTGTAGATCCCTCACTCCTGTCTGCTAGTGTCCCTTAAGGATGGTACCAGAATTGAGACAGAGGAGGACTCAAATATGGCTATATGAAAGAAGATAGGTACAAAACTGAGGTGACAGACCCGGCATAGTGCTGAACATGGGCTCTCTCTGTGTGAGAGGAGATAGAAAGGGAAGCTTCAGAAGAGCAAATAACTACCACCACTCCAGGTGGAAACGGCATCATAAAGTGGTTGCATCTTTCCACGTGATGCCTGAAGAGAGCTTCAACCATTTTTATTAGTATTTTATATAATAATTATTATTGAAATATCATAATGATAATAGTTACATTTTTAATCATAATAAGCATCTCATTATAAATGTTACATTACTTTTAGGATCCTAGGATGTTGTGTCTGAATACAGAATCCCTACACTGGGAACCAGAGCTGCCTTCACGGGCTGTGGTCTTGCTAAAGCTTTATGGTGCTACTCAGTCTCAATAGTAGTAACTCTACTAATGATCTTGTCTTGCAAACTTGTTTACTTTGAACGAAGGTATGTGTGTTATTATTACTCTGTTCCTATGTCATATTAAGTGACATATTAAGCAGGTAGACCATCAACTTTATTTTTGCAAGGTGAGAATTGTAAAACATAGCTGGCTTCCTATAGTGACTCTGATTTAAGGTTATTACTTCTGTAATTATGTTTGAGATGTGGCTTTTTTTGGTTTTGTTACTGAAATATGGAGTGGGACTTGATTCCATGAGTGGGAAACTTCAGTCACTTCTAATGTGAGGGTGCAATGTGTGTGTCACTAACTTTATCTTATTGTTAAATAGGTTTAAGTGGAAATCCAGCAGATATAGAAAGGAGAGAAGCAGTTTTTGGGAAGAACTTTATACCTCCTAAAAAGCCAAAAACATTTCTTCAGTTAGTATGGGAAGCACTACAGGACGTTACACTAATTATATTAGAAATTGCAGCCGTAGTATCCTTGGGCCTTTCTTTTTACCAGCCTCCAGGAGGAAATGAATCATGTAAGTAAACTTCTTCAAAAGTAGGTATCTACTATTATTATACACCTGACTTTCCTGGTTCAACATGCCTATACTGTAAATCTGATGGGAGACAGTAAGTCAGTGGAAAAGCAGCTTATTGTTCCTTATTGAGAGCACATTACTAAAACTCTACCTTGCCTTAAAAGGGCAACATGCGATTTCCTTGGTCATGATCTGGTATTATTCTGACCAAAGGTAAATTGCAAGCAGCAGGAACAGGACTTACTTGAAATCCAGTCTCTGTGCTAGTGGGGTTTTTTTTTAGCTTTGCCTCAAATATTTAAGCAATTTATAATTTGCAGTCATGGTCTTTCTTTGGGGAGTCAGCAAGTCTTAAATTTTCCTTGATTTGTGCTGTGACACTGGTAACTTATAATTTAAGAAATGAAGCTATATTTTTACTTCTAAACAGAAAATAAAGGGATTGGGACTTCTTAACTGAATTTTTGCAGTGATATCTGGTTTGTTAAGACAAATGTGAAGTGGGATATGTTGACAAAGCAGAATGTTGTTTACCAGTTTGACATTCTTATGCCATCATTTAACAAAATAAGGACAGGAAACTTTATCAACTTCTCTTGTGTTCAGATAAGCAGTGTGGTTTAACTTCCTCAAGTTGCTCTAGCTTTCAGGTTCTTTAGCTTCTTTGTGTGTTACCCTTATGGAAATAAAGGTGAAATTGCAAAGAAAAATAGCATGGAAAATGTTTAGCAGCTATAAGTTTTTTGTTTGCCAAAACTTTCTTTGCTGAAATATCTTTGTGAACTTTCTTAAATCTAAAACCTGTTTTCTGCAGTATGTGGATCAGTAAATGTTGGTGAAGAAGAGGAGGAATCTGAAGCAGGTTGGATTGAAGGAGCAGCAATCCTCCTATCTGTAGTTTGTGTGGTATTAGTAACAGCTTTCAATGACTGGAGTAAAGAGAAACAATTTCGGGGATTGCAGAGCCGTATTGAACAAGAACAGAAATTCACAGTCATCAGAGGTGGCCAAGTCATCCAAATACCAGTAGCTGACATAATTGTTGGAGATATTGCACAAGTGAAATATGGTAAACATATTTTTAAAGTTGAACTTTCTTTTATTTTTAAAAAAGGAACTGCAGTCAACAAACCCAGTGATCTCTCGTAGGTGACCTTTTACCGGCTGATGGTGTACTCATTCAGGGAAATGACCTCAAAATTGATGAGAGCTCGCTGACTGGGGAATCTGATCATGTTAAGAAATCTCTGGACAGAGATCCCATGCTGCTGTCAGGTGTGTAGCGTTTGACAATTTTTGAATAAAGTAATTTGTTTCTGCAGTAAACTGGTTATTTAAAATGTTGTGGTTAAAACTAGCACATTGGTTTTTTATCTAGGTTGTCTCCTGAAACTATCCCAAACCAGTCCAAAAAGTACTGAACTTTGTTGGAGTGATCAGACCTATAAAACTGACTAATGTTTTGTGTAGTTGCTTATGGGTTTACTTTCCAGATAGCTTTGGCTGCTAAAGCTTTAGGGGAGCACAGTGGTACATATACACGGCTCAGAGTTTTGTCAAAGTCAAGTTTAAAAGCTTATTTCCTCAAAGTACTTGTGTTCCCTGCCATGTAACTGCTCACATCTCAGTGGAAATCCTGATTCAATCTTTCAGGTACACATGTGATGGAAGGCTCTGGAAGAATGGTGGTTACTGCTGTAGGTGTGAACTCTCAGACTGGAATAATTTTTACCTTACTTGGGGCTGGAGGAGATGAAGAGGAGAAGGAGAAGGAAAAAGAAAAGAAGGAAAAGAAAAGTAGGCATATTAATCTTAAATATCTTGGTGGGGGAGTTGGAGAGGGGATGGTGGTGAACTTTTGAATATTACTGGATAAAAGCATGTTCCAGTCATCCAAAGCCAGAAAGCTTTTTTAAAAACTCATACCTTCTGTAGGTTTCACAGGAAAAACAACTTAGGTCCAGTGACCTGAGAGTGCACCACTACTACTAACTCTTGTCACATGGAATTTAGTTAAACTTCAGATCCCATTGATCAGTCAGAGTTTGGAAATTTGCAATTGCTCACCAGCCATGCATACCATGTATAAATGGTTAAACTCTCATCTTGTGTAACTTCAAGGCACACTGATGTCTAATAGCAAGTACTTGTTTATGGAAAACAAGTTATTATGAAGTTCAACCTAATAAGTATCTAGTGGTACTTTTAAGTGATCTTTTTATCAGAGGGATACAAGACACTAATGGAAAATTCACACAGAAATGTGTTTAAGTTTCTCAGAGACTTTCAAACTCTAGGCAATTGCTAAAATGTGTGCTCTGTGCAGGAATTGAGATTGAAGTTTTTTTGTCTTGTCCTAACCCACAATTCTGACCCTTCTTAAAACTTGAAAAAAACTAGTGAGTTTCTTTAAAAGTTAGAAAAATGTTACAAGAAGCATTGAAAGTTCTAAGTGAGTTTCAAGCTCAAGCATGACAGTGAACAGAAAAAGCTGACCTGCAGCACTTGCAGTCATTAGTGTGAAAGTTGCCGTCCTGTGCCTTCCCCTTACAGAGGAAGGAGAAGGGAACAAATAACAGTACCAGCTGCTACAGGAGATACGGAGTGGATTATAGCTTTTATTAATATTCTGCCAGTGTTTATTATCGTAGAAGCAGAAGTCTCTTTGACAAGTAGTGTTTTGGTGTATCCTCGGACCCAAGCACTATTGGGGTTTTTTTGTATCCCAAGATAGATAGGTTCCTGTTTCCCTTAAGTTAGGTGCCTAATAAGATTCTCCTTGATAAAACTCAGGTTAAACTAAATTAACTTCTCTGTGAATGTTAAGGAGATTAAAGGGACTATATTTAGCTGGCTGTGTATGGCACGATTCAGAGTGAAAGCAAATGTATGTACAAGGAGTTACAAGTAACTCAAATGTAGAACTTTGCTCTTGAAAGAGGAAGAGGGGAACTGGGGAGAACAAATACAAAATCAGGAAACAATGATGAGTTCTTAAGAAGTCTGAGGTGGCATCTTCTGGAGAAAGTGAACATGCTTTTTTTTTTTTTGGTTTTTTTTTTCTGTTCAGCTGTTGTGAGAATGCTGGGAGAAATCTTACGTATAGAAATCAGACTGTGTCTACAGTAATGGTGTAGTGGAGATATTAAATGTCATGCCAGACAGGCTGCTTGATAATTTGATTTTCTTCTACTTGAGTACTCTTGAAAATTTCCATCTACATAACCTAAGGCCAAAGAGTTGGTGAATTACCAGTAATACTGAAAATGTTTGGGTTTTGTTCTAAGTTGCTCAATTTTGTGCTTTCATTTCAGCTTATCACAAACAGTAATTATAACCCTTGCTTTCTCTACTCAGAAATAAAGTTTGTCACTTTCAAGCCCCCAAAAACAACACACGATGTGTTAGTCTTCCAATCTTTAATATTTCAGTTGTTCAATTCTTTCATTATTTCACTGACCTTTATGTTGAGCCCCATTTCTGAACACAGGTAGGAGTGATATTTTATTATGCACTTGAGCTATTCTCACCATGATGTATGGTATATTGCCTACAGATTTGTGCTTGTGTTTGTGTAAATAGTAATCCAGTAATCCAGTGCTGTACCTCCATTAAGCTTTGCTATGGATTTATTAATTTTTATACCACAGTAGTTTCTGTAATGTTGTACAAAACAGATTCTCAAAGTGAGACCTTGCGGTTTATTTACAGAGGTAGTCAGATACTGGTGGCAAGTGTTGGAAGACTACAGCAAGATAGAGGCTTCCAAAATCACTGAATTGTCACAAATATCTTTCCTAGAAAAGCATGTCAGGAAGTCTTTTGTAAAGCTTTCTTCACAAGCCGTGTCAGTATCAGTAATTTGTGCAAACTCAACCATGGTAGATTAACACTGCAGCAGTCTTGTATGGGAAAAGTAAAATCCAAAAAGTGCCATGAGCTGTTTCTGTGAGCTGACTTACATGTTTTTTTTTTGTTTTTTTTTTAATGCAGTTTCCTGTTTTAGCAAAGTATTGTAGTTATTGTATAAAAACATAAATAAAAAAATGAATTCTGCACAGCCAGCTTAAAACACAAACTTGTTTCCCTCTCTGACAGGTAAAAAGCAAGATGGAGCTGTTGAAAACCGTAACAAAGGTAAATGCAGGTTCTTTGATTCTTTCTTGCAAGTCTCTTTTCTAAGAGTATAGATGAATACAGACTTCCCTATAAAAATGCATATTGAATGCTTATATCCAAAGTGCTTATGGTAAAGATGGCATAATTGAATCTGCCCAAAACAGATGCTTCACTGAACCTGATATTCTTTCACCAATACACAATACACTTATTTAAACATTCATGTGAAGTGTTGCCTCTCTGGATACAAGATCATTCTCTGTGCTATTATATTTAGTGGAGCTGTGTATTAAGCTTTTTAGGTATCTTTGATTTGGAAGACTCACCAATGACTAAACTTCTTTTTGATCTTAACTTCTAGCTAAAGCTCAGGATGGAGCAGCCATGGAAATGCAACCACTGAAGAGTGAGGATGGTGGAGATGGAGATGAGAAAGACAAGAAGAAAGCAAATTTGCCAAAGAAGGAAAAGTCAGTTCTCCAAGGCAAACTCACAAAGCTCGCAGTTCAGATTGGCAAAGCAGGTACAATGTCTCAGTACTCTCCTCATGATGATGTCATGTTAAAAAAAGTTGGAACATGCATAGTTTGGGAGGAGATAAAATAATCAAACCACTCAAGGCTGGCTACTTAAGTGCAAAATTGTAATGCATGTAAGTATGCTGCTGTGCCTGAGTATGCTGATGGCCTCTCAGGCTCTGTCATGTGGATGGCTTTTATTTTTCCCTAATTTAAATAGAGTCAGGCTTTCAAGTGCCAGCTTCTAGGAGGGAAAATTCCAACTTCATAACATTGGACAACTGTTACGAAAGATCTTTTTAGGTTAGATACAGCATTTAGCAATGTACCAAGAGAACTGTAACTTGAGTGAAGCCTGGAAAATGTGGTACAGTCAACGAGGTTATCTCTAGTACTTTCAGAGGCTTAGAGTTTTCCACTTAACATATGCCTTGCTGATACATAATATTTTTATTGACTTCCTACTTTTCTATCAGCTAATATTCAGCTGCCTTGTCAAAATCTTTGGTAGATTGTTGCTTCTTGAAAGTAGGCTAAAACAACAGTGAAGTTCAGTATAAAATTTAGGCTATATTATCTGGTGTATAGTGGTTTAATTCAAATATTTCAGGATTTATTTTGGTCCATGTAGAATTGTTGAAAGGTTTGGGCTGGAAGGAATTTCAGGAAGACTTGTAGCCCAGCCCACAGCTCAAGAAGGGCTGACTTTAGCATTTGTATCATTACACAGATACAGTCTGAAATGGAGCAATGAAACTTTTAGCTGTAACACTTTGCAGTTGTGTATGGTGGTATTAATTTTTCAGTGAGATTAACAAATATGTGTGCTGTAAACTACTGTCCTGGTCAAAGATTTTTTTTTTCATCTCTTCCAAGAGGTGTTGTTTTCCTTTATGTATCTTTTGACCTATTGTAGTTCCCCACACAGCCTTAATACTCATCTACTTCATGCATGGATTTTCCTGTCCTCCTGCTTTGAGACCACACTGAAGCACTCTACTGAATCAGTCAGCATAAAATTGGTGAAGGCCTCCTGAATTTTCTCACTTTTTATTCTGCTTATTGACTTTACATATTGGTCTGTCCTGTTACTAATTAGCTCCATGCTTTCCAATTAAATTGGAGAAAAAAAGATTTCTAGGCACTTCTAGGTGAAATGCATGACGAAATACTTGCATTGGAAACTGGAACACGTCTGAGAACTGCCTCCATGTTTTGACTTGCCTCTTTGAAACCTTAGTCCTAATCTAGCTTGTATAAGGGCAGAAGTATTTGCATGTATCTACAGTCTGTATTGCCAAATATTTGAGATAATTTCTTAAAACTGTTTGTTCTCTTTTTAACAAGGTTTGTTGATGTCTGCAATCACAGTCATTATCCTTGTGTTGTATTTTGTAATTGATACCTTCTGGGTTCAGAAGAGACCTTGGCTTGCTGAATGTACCCCAATTTATATTCAGTATTTTGTGAAGTTCTTCATTATTGGAGTTACTGTCTTGGTGGTGGCAGTACCAGAAGGTCTTCCACTTGCAGTCACTATATCTCTGGCTTACTCTGTTAAGGTAAGTAGGTAGAGGGCAAGTAGATTTTTTTTTTTTTAAGGTAGGTGGGCATATTCATCAGCTGTTAAATACAGAGTTATGCTGCATCACAGATATATATGTATGTTAGACTGGGAAGAAGCTTTTCTTGTTCTCTGAACTGCATAAGAATTCTACTGCAGTACTTTTCTTCATCTTTGAATGAATACACACTGACAAGGACAGTGAGCATTGCCAGCTAAAGATGAATGGGTTCAGTATGTACCATTGTAACATTTGCTTACAAAAAACAGATGTTTTAGAATTTGTAAATAACAAACTTTTCTGTAAATCTGAACTTCTACCTAGCTGATATGTTAAACAATTGCTATGAAAGCTTCTAGATTGATTTTTTTTTTTTTTGAACACTGAATAGTGTAAAGCATTTTGCTTTCTGCTTACTATACAGCATGTTTTTTAACTTAAGCTGTGTTCTTAATTTTCTTACTGCATCCATATGCTGAGACTGATTATTTGTCTAAAATCTAATTGTAAAGGTGATGGGTGCTTAGGCTGTGTTCTAAATTCATAACTTACAGCACTTACTAGTAGTGACCTTATTGTATAATTTGAAATTTGTCTTCTGCTTAGAGGTGAAAACACTTCACAAGCCTGTTAAGGAAAGAATTTTAAACTATATTTAATCTATGTAACTCCTGTAACCCTCACTATTTTAGTTGAAACATTAGGTTCCCACCTTGATTATAAGTCTGAACCCAGGTTTTTTGAAATTTGTATTATCTGATCTTCTGACAGATCTAATAAGCTGCATTAGACTTGTAAGCAGAAACACTTTTTAACATTACATTACATTTACCACATTGTGTCTGGTAAAGCTCAAACCTTACCGCTTCTCAATTTCTAAATATTGTTATAAACTGTTTTCTCCTAAAAGTCTGAATAGTATCAATAGTCAGTGTGACATGTAGATACAGGAGATTGACATGTATTATGTATCTTGTTCAAAATGAAGTTTACTGTGACATAATGGACTTAAGGAAGTCTATACAGAAAGTGGCAGCTGCAAGTTCTTCCTCTGAAATATGCCAGATGAATGAATGACTGAGTGTTTTCTGAAAGTGCTGTGTAAGACTGGATCCCATAAATGAGAATTTCTGAAGTGAAGCAATGGTCATGGATTGCTGTTAACTGCTTTTATTTCCTTAGAAAATGATGAAAGATAATAACTTGGTGAGACATCTGGATGCATGTGAAACTATGGGCAATGCCACAGCTATTTGCTCAGATAAAACGGGAACATTGACTATGAACAGAATGACCGTGGTCCAAGCCTACATCAATGAAAAACATTATAAAAAAATTCCAGAACCAGAAGCTATTCCAGAGAAAACTATGGCTTATCTTGTGACAGGAATTTCTGTTAATTGTGCTTATACTTCCAAAATACTGGTAAGTGGATTTCTTCATTCCAATCAAGATAACTGAGTAACTTCCTTAAAAGATGCAAATTGTCTGATGGCCACAGGCAGTTGCAGTGTAAATGGTATTTCGTACCTGCTGTAAATTGCTCAACCATTCATTTGAAACTCAATAAAAAAATAGCTTATTTCAGTTAGAACAGATAATTCAAAGACAAAATCTCAAGATAATTTCCTTTCAAGTTCAAAGCTCTTTTTTTTGTATAAGTGGGGCTGTTTATGACACTTGAAGGGTGTCTTGCCTGGATTTGAGCACTACTTAAAAATAAACATTAAACAGTTTAAATTTAAGAGTAGTACATTAAATAATATATAATGGAAAAATGTAACTACAGGTAAGGATTTTAATGGATTTTTATTCCAGATACTGCTGTATAAGTTTGTAAGCTTAGAATTGTAACATATTTGACAAAATCTTGTTTGAAACTTGCAAAATGTTTTGAAATGAAAGACTAATGAACTGTTACACATTTTACATAGTGGATTATTTACCATTTTGTGTTCATTATTTTCTAAAACTCTAAAAATAGCGTCCTTGCTGTAGTTATTCCAACATGTTGTATAACTTATATTCTTTAGGCAGTAAAAATAATAAGTAGGATTTAGTAAATGAATTAGCATTTCAAGATTTTGAAGAAGCCTCCACTATGGATACTTTGTACACAAATAGCAGTGAAAACTCAGTTCAGATGCTACTTATCAGCCAATAAAAACGGTATGTCTGCAAGAATTTCCACAAATGGAGTACTTGAGGCAGCACATGAAGTTTGACAGCACTGATTTCTCTGAAACAAGATGGGAATTCTAGAATGAGTTACAGCATGTGAGGAGTTTCACAGTCTGTTTTCTAAAGCTCTTTCTATACCAAGAACAAGGCAGCTGTATGTAAGCTGACCAAGTCCTTTATTGCTACCATTTTAACTGAATTATGTCCACTGCAGTAGAGTTAGGCTGCTTTACAGAATCAGAGAGGGCTGAAAGGGACCTCTTGAGAGAACCTCCAATCAATCCACTCCTCCTGGTCAAAGCAGAGTTAGCCAGAGCTCATTGCTCAGGGCACTCACTCAGGATCTCTTTAAGGATCTCAAAGGATGGAGACTTTGCAACCTTTTGGGCAGCCTGATCAAGTATTTTATCACCCACAGAGTAAAAGGTGTTTCCTTATCTTAAAAAGGAGTTTCAGAATCTTCAGTCTGTATCCATTGCCTGTTGTCCTTTCACTGGGCACCACTAGGAAGGTTTGGCTAGACAGTCCTTACCATTTTTCCAACCACGTGCCTTATTCAGGCATTCAATAGACACCAAAAATTTTCTCTCCCAGAGTGTTGTCTTCTCCTGACTGAATAGTCCCAGCCCTTCCAGCTCATCCTCGTATGTCAGGTGCTTGAGTCTCTGTATTATTTTTGTGTGCCATGGATGCACTTACTCCTGGATGTTGATATCTCTCATACTGGGCACCCAGAACTGGATGTCTTAAACTGCACATTTTCAGAGTGTGAGTATTCAGTACAGCCAAATTCAAAATCCTGCAGCTCTGAACAATGAAAATGGACCGCTGATTTATGATTAATGTAGTTCAGTTCTAGCCACCTGAGACATGTCAGATGAAGAAAGTGCTTTTCCATATTTTGCTGCAAAAAATACTGTAGTGTTATGAGTATATAAACTCAAATATTTTGAGAGAAATACTTCTTTGTTGATAGGACTAGTATGTGCATATCCCACATTGTTGAGATAAGAAACTTTTTTCTGGTATTAAAGGATTGGAAACTTGTTTCTGAACTCTTTCAAGTTAAATAGACCATGGCCTGGAAAACAGAACTTGTAGTGAGACTTAAGAAGCTTAAAGACTTAGTTTGTTCAGAAGAAGGCTAACAGGTGATGTGGTCATAGTCTAAGTCACTGAAGAATTATTACAGGAGAGGATACTTTAATTTAGCAGAAATAATGCCATTTAGCTTGCTGAAGTCAGTATATGTGAACTTAGCTGTACTTTTAAAATCCAAAACAATTGTTCATGGTCTACACTCAATTGATCAGATAAATATTTAAAGTAATGGAAAATGTCTTTTAGAAAGGTCATGTTGGGATTGATACAAACTTAATGGGTTATTTCTGAAGGATTGAAAGATCCTAAATAGGTACAGAAGTTACTTTTAAAAAGCAGCAGTATGACTTTGGATTATGACTCATAGGAATTTATGAAGTAATTACTGAAAAAGAAAACCTCCCCATCCCAGAACTAAGCTTCTCCTTCCTTGTGTTCTAAGTGCCGTGCTTCAGTGGTTTATCAGTTAACTAATCAGTGATGGTTCTTGTTCTTCTTGCAGCCTCCTGAAAAGGAAGGTGGCCTACCGCGTCATGTTGGAAATAAAACTGAATGTGCCTTGCTGGGATTGCTCTTGGATTTAAAACGTGATTATCAGGATGTAAGAAATGAGATACCAGAAGAGGATTTGTACAAAGTGTACACCTTCAACTCTGTTAGAAAATCGATGAGTACTGTGTTGAAAAACTCTGATGGCAGTTTCCGGATATTCAGTAAAGGTGCCTCTGAGATAGTTCTTAAAAAGTAAGAACAACTACTACTATGATTCAGCACTTAACTTTTGCTAAATGTTGTGATAGGTGGAGATACTGGCATGCTAAACAACATTGTTTCTTGTTTAGCTTGACAGGCATAGTCTGTGGAATACTTGTCTCTCTAATCACAGGTAGTTCTACACCCAATACCCTTGCAGTCCTATACCCTTGTGACTGCAGCTTCACAGCCTGTCTCTTTCAGTTGTTGGACTTTCTACAGTAAGATGGGCCATTAGCACTTTAGTTACTTTACTTCAGACACCCCAGCCCTACCCCTCAAAACAAAAGAAAAAAGAAAGAGATGGTCTCATGCTTTAGTTAAACTATTTTACTTTTAGGTGTGGTTGATCAAAATGCTCACCTGTCTTACAGTAAAGTCCCATCAGTTGATATGCCTAAATTCCAGGAAGGGCTTGTACCTTTGAAAAGTGATTATTTTTAGCATGTTGCTGTTTGGACTGTGCATCTTTCTGTTGAAGTCGATCATTTTAACAGGAGGTTGAACTTGAAAGTTCGAGCAGCTTGAGGGGTTTTAATGTGACAAAGCAATTGCTTCCTTATCCATCTGCCCACCTAGAAAGGATTTATTAGGATGAGATTAGACTTAGTGAGCGATTAGGTACCACTGGGACAAACCTTTATAGGTGTGAAGTTAGCTGTAGTAACTCCTGACTAGGTGAGAAGAGACTCAAACATGTATGCATCTTGTTCTCTAGAAACAGCAGCTAGTAGCCAGGCCTGTTTTGGTTCTGATGTCAAACGGTTTCTAGTCTGGGTAGCACATAGATTATATTCATCAGTCAAATTTACTTTTTTGCTTGTTAATAGCTTCCCAAATTGTTACCTAGGAAGTTACTAATGTACTAAAGAAAAAATACGAGCTCTTCCTTCTCAGCTTTTGTGCTGAGAACAAAATGTCAGTCTTTAAAGGACTCTTGTTCTTGATATGAAACTTAAAATATTTTTTTGTGTAGCTACATTTTAAGGCAAACCATATCAATTAATAGATGTGCCTATATTCACATTACTTCCACCTTCTGAGGTATTTTTTAACTTATAATGCTGGACAACTGAACTGTAGAAGTTGCTAGAACTCAGTCATCCCAGACTCATGTAGTCCACTTGACTTAGTAACTGAAATAACAAAATAGATAATAAGGGCATTTGACAAAGAAGAAGAAAACCTAGACTGATTTGGATATTATAGGAATAGTGTCCAAATAGGAAACTGCTTCAGAGTATGCACTGAATAGGACAAAGATTTAGCCATCATAATCTGCTTCCTGTGCAGTACCTGTAATCTGGTTTGTCAGTTGTGCTGCTCCTTCTCTATTATAACATATATAACTTCACTTATACTAAAACTTAAACATGAACATTTATAAGATACAAATGAGTCACAAGTAATGCAGAAACATTTGCAGGTAGAGCATTTTCTTTTTTCTTTCCTTATCACTAAGTCACATCTTTGAAGTGAGTTCCAGTGTGGTTTTGCATAGAATTTATTTATGTGTATTTAGTCATTTTGTAATGTTCAAATTTGTCACCAACCTTATGACTGCAGCTAACACTAGATATCCTTAATGACTGCTGACATTTTAACAGATAAGTAAAAAATTCACATAGACTTCAAATTTCAGTTATTATATGACTGTCCCTCTAAGGGACTGCTTCATTTTAATTTTTTCGTATGAGGTGAAAACTTTTAGGGAATTCCCTAAATCCTTGGACTATACACTTAACTGTAACACTTGTCATCTTTGCAGGTCTGCAAGATCTGAATTTGATATTTAATGGAAGTATTGAATTATTTTTTTTCTGGTGCTGTAGTAGTACTAATTTGTAAAACTAATGGATAATAGTGTTACTTTATGGTAAAACTTTGTAAAGAACACATGAGCAAGATTTAATTTCTTGCTCAAAATCATTGGTAGTGTTGTATTTATGGCATTAATATTAATAAAGTATATATGCTCTATCTGTGAAAGCAGTGGCATCTTTGGCATGAAGAAACATTATTGGGAGAGCACATATTGAAATGCTAGAGTGCATAGTGGTGAATCTAGTCTCCTATACAAACATTTTAATCAGTTTGCATATTTGTTTTTCATTTAATATTTCACATTGCCTCACCTACCAGATGCTCTCTGAATTCTCTGCACTAAACTGTGAGGGAAGGGGAAGGGCTGTGAACGTTTTTGTTCTTAAGGGTAGCAGTACCTAAGTTTGCTTATAGTGCTGTAGGTTTAACGCTTGCAGCTGTTCAAGCAGCTCATGCGTGTTCTGAAAGTGCGCTTACTTCTGAAACTGTATTGCTGGTAACAAGGTGGGATTATTTTGCTGAGCTTGAAACTGGATTGCCTGACTCAACCAGTGCAGACACCAGTCTGATTACATACAATGGAGAAATGGATACCTCTGGGAGGTAGCTGATGTTTGTATGTGAAATTGGTCAGGCATTACTTTCATCCTAGGATGATTGGCTCAGTTTAACTTTCTACAGAAAGTATGTTTTGCAGCTGAAGAAAGTGCATTTGAAGAAGATTACCTTAGAGATACCCCTACTGGAGTATTGTGCCCGTGTGATTGAGCCTAGCAAAAACACAGCTTATAGAAATTTAGAGGAGTTGACTGATAAGCTAAAGAGTGAGTTGAACTTCTGGTTAAAATTTGATTAACTCTTTAAACCTTTCTTTCCAGGTGCTTCAAAATACTGAGTGCTAATGGAGAACCAAAGGTATTTAGACCTAGGGACCGCGATGATATTGTGAAAACTGTAATTGAGCCAATGGCTTCTGAAGGTCTCAGAACCATCTGCCTGGCATTCAGAGACTTCCCAGCAGGGGAGCCTGAGCCAGAGTGGGACAATGAAAATGATATCGTTACTGGGCTGACATGCATCGCTGTTGTTGGGATTGAAGATCCTGTGAGACCTGAGGTAGGGTCACCAGCTGAGCTGCAGTGATTCTGTTACATGGGATTCGTGCTTTTCATCATGCAGAGTACTAGGAACTGAACTGCTGTTGTATGCCTTAAGCATAGTTAATAAATGAAAATCTAATTTCTTGAAGGGAAAGTTAATGGAGCTATAAAAGCAGATTAAAACTACTTAATGTCACTTATGCTGTGTTACTGAAGCTCTGTACAAACTAATAACTTAAGGTGCTTACTGTGCGGGATCTCAGTAAATGAAACAATTTGTTATTTTTTTACCACTTGGAGTAGTAGGGCTTTTGATTTGGATAAGATTAGCCATTGAGCTTGTTACCAGCTTCTCATGGGAAATGATGGAGAGAGCTGAGCTTGTCACCTGAGAACTGAGGGCAAGAAGTATGCCTTGTGGTTGAGGTGTAATGTTTTTCAATAGTGAAAGCTTTTATGCCGCATGCATGTGTGAAATTGGGGCTGCACTATTGTCACTTCACAGTAAAAGTTATTGTTGAAGTAGTGGGGTATGAGCTGTAGTTTATTTCACATAATCATAAATAAAATGCGAGTACTCAGTACAGCCTAATATGTTATGAGGATTTTTGTGGTCTTTTCAATACTGCAGTATTTGAAAAATTGCAGGAGGGAGGGGAACAGACATAGCAGTGGCACAGGCCTCTTGCCAGAATTGTAATTTGTGTGGTTTTTAGGAAAAGAACTGTGGTATGCTACTTAATTTTTTTTTAATGTTCCATAACTACAGTCTTCATTTTAAAATAACAGTTATCCTGTACTGAGCCATAAACATTCCTTTCACTCACATGTCTAGATTTATTAAACTAATGAACAGTCTCTGAGCCTGTGGGGTTTTTTTCTTGCTTACAGGTACCTGATGCAATAAAAAAGTGTCAACGTGCAGGCATAACTGTACGTATGGTCACTGGTGATAACATCAACACTGCTCGTGCTATTGCATTGAAATGTGGAATTCTGAATCCTGGTGAAGACTTCCTGTGTTTAGAGGGCAAAGACTTTAACAGGAGAATACGCAATGAAAAAGGAGAGGTAAGCATGCTGACTCTCACCAAGTAGATCAACAGATAGTCTAAGTCTCATACATGTGTAAAATTTGACCCCTGCTCTTTCTGCAGATTGAGCAAGAGCGAATAGATAAAATTTGGCCAAAGCTTCGTGTTCTTGCAAGATCTTCTCCCACTGACAAACACACTCTAGTTAAAGGTGGGTAAAAATACTCTGAGCTTCTAAGTAAAGCTAGATTTTTTTTTTCCCCCTGTTCTTCTAGGAGAAAAACAAATAGGACTTGAACAATGGGAAATGTCTGTGAAGTTGTTTCCAACTGATTTTTTTCTTTTCTGCTTGAGAGATGGACCAAATGAGAACTATTTTGGTGACTGTTTTTTTTGTTTGTTTGTTTTATGACTGATAAAGACAAAAACTGGGTTTCTCTTTCAGACTAAGTCTTTTCTGTGTTAATTTAGAACTGTAACACTTGTATGTCATTTTATTTTAGGTATAATTGACAGCACTGTCTTTGATCAGAGGCAAGTTGTAGCAGTAACTGGTGATGGTACCAATGATGGTCCAGCTTTGAAGAAGGCAGATGTTGGATTTGCTATGGTAGGATTTTTTTTTTTTTTTTACATCCTCAGTATTTTATCAATGACTTATCCAATCACTTCAGATTAAAGATCCTCGTTTCATGGACACAAACAGGGAGACCAGCTGGCAGTCTCTTTCATTATGATGTTCAAAATGGCTTTGTAGGCCATATCTTGTACATTGAAGTACAATTGAAGCCAACAGCATTTTATGATAGTGGAGGATCTGCATTTGTCTGGATGATTTGTTAGATTACATGGCTTTCTCAGCTACCCTTTCACATGGCTGCCAAACAGTGTCTTGGCTTTTAAGTGCTTATACTGCATAGACTCATGCTTTGAGTGTGTGGGCTTCAGCTTTCTTTCAAGACACAGAGCAAGACAGATTCCTCAAGCTTCCTTTTGCCACAGGATTCCTCCTCAGTCTTAAAGACTGATAGACTTTGGTCATGGCAGCTCACTGTAGTCTTAAAGCAATTGAAAGGAAAGAAAAAATGAAGACCACACTCTCCTATACCATATGCAGAAAAAGAAACACTGACTCAGATTCTACTCCTGAGAGAAAAGATGGGAAAGAGATTTCATATCATTCTTAAGGAGCTTTTTTCAAAAACTTAACTTAAAAATTTGACAGCTACATATGAAATGTTCTCTGGATTGTAACAGTCTTGTTGTAACAAGTATCTTTGTATAGCTGCTGTAGTTGCCACTGTCAGGGGCAGATTTGTTTGTCTGTTTTGAATGTTTCCTGCAGTTGCTGTCTGTGTTCATCTATGTAAGGAACTATCTTCTCTAACTGTTTACCTAAATAGCACTTAAAATATACCATATGATTTCTAAAGGTACCTTTTAAGGTGTACACATAGCTGTGCAGGTGACTCATTTCCTTGACAAAATAACATATCACGAATAGGGATCATTAAATTTGCTATTGAGTTAGTGGATTTGGAATGCCAAAAGAAAAACTGAGATTTTTTGAAGTAGTTGTCTTTGGGCATCATTACACAGAACACAGCTGTTTGGGTACTGTAGGAGACTAGAGGTGTGCTTAAATTTTAAGAATGTCATGTTGCTTTGCAATGCATATGCAGTGACATTGCATCGTCTACTGTTCAATGCTAATGGCTTTCTGCAAAAGGTTTTTGGTAGTGTTTATCGTCCTAGTGTGTTGCAAGCACATTGCCTGCTGCAGGAATCCATACAACAAAATAATTAGGGCAGAGTTTAAACTGTACCACTGCACCACCTGGTGGCCTTCAGCTTGAACAGGGTTCAGTAACATTTCTTTGGGAGAACTTAATCTGTCTTTACTGTCAGCTCTCAAATTTATATTAAGGTCTTTATTTTAAAGAGATCATTACTTTGTTTTCATTTTCCCAAGACTTCCAAGTAGAACTTGTTTCAATCGGCTTTATATGCTTACATTAAAGGAGTCCTTCAGGTGTTGTGCATCCAAATGAATGCTGACCAAAGATATAAGAGCTTTTGTCATAAAAAGTCAGTGCATCCTATTATATTTCATAATGTTTTTCTTTTTCTATCAGGGTATTGCTGGAACAGACGTAGCTAAAGAAGCTTCTGATATTATCCTTACAGACGACAACTTCACCAGTATTGTTAAAGCAGTTATGTGGGGACGAAATGTCTATGACAGCATCTCCAAATTTCTTCAGTTCCAACTTACTGTCAATGTAGTAGCAGTAATTGTTGCTTTTACAGGAGCATGCATAACACAAGTACGTACCAGTGGGGAATAAAGGTTGGAAGAGTCATGATTGATTAATTCTTGAGTTCAAACTTTCACTTAAACAGTAGTCCAAGATCATAATGCTCTTCAGAACATGTTGATATTGTATAATAGATGCCTTTAACAGCTGTAATTTCTGCACTTCAATAGAAGTGTTTGTGTATCTATTTTTGTAGGATTCTCCACTTAAAGCTGTGCAGATGCTGTGGGTAAATCTCATAATGGACACATTAGCTTCTCTTGCCCTGGCAACAGAACCACCCACCGAAGCTCTTCTGCTGCGGAAGCCTTATGGTAGAAACAAACCTTTGATTTCTCGTACAATGATGAAGAACATTTTGGGTCATGCATTCTACCAGCTTGTAGTGGTCTTCACGCTCCTGTTTGCTGGTAAGAATACTGAGGCTTTACAAAGTTAGTCTGAATGTTGTAGAGAGGTGTTTTTTTAAAACTAATTTTTTGCTGTAGTGTGTGTGTAAAGACACTAATCAAGCTGTTCATAAATATCTTTTATATACAGGTGAGAAAATTTTTGATATAGATAGTGGAAGAAATGCACCTCTGCATGCTCCTCCTTCAGAGCATTATACTATAGTATTTAATACATTTGTGATGATGCAGCTTTTTAATGAAATCAATGCCCGAAAGATTCATGGTGAAAGAAATGTTTTTGAAGGAATCTTTAACAACGCTATCTTCTGTTCTATTGTGCTGGGGACATTTGTTGTGCAGGTAAGCAGATTCTTGGAGGGTACTGCACTGATGTACTTGCTTACCATGGAAATGCCAATCAGCTAGTGCCAGAGATCTAATTTCTGCAATGTGGAAAACCTTCAGGGTCAAGCACACAATAAGAAAGTTGTAAGTGCAGCTTGAATGGAGTTTTCAAACCTCTTTGAAGGTGGCAATGCTGGAATGCTGTATTTGTATAAAAGTATTTGTAGTTACCTTTTGAATTTTCAACTTCTTCAATTTTATCTTAGTATTCTAATCTATTGGCAAAATATGAAGTTATATGTGTCATCTGTTCATTCACCCCTTGCCCCTAAATCTTATAACATCTACCTGTATATCTGAATGAGAATCCATTTAAACAATTATAGAAAAAGAATGACTTCTTTTATTTTCTTAATGAGATTAGGACGTGAATAAGCATTAGAAAATTAAGTATCAGTTTGTACCTTACTGGTGCAGGAACCAGTGGTACCTACTGGTATATATTGTAGAGGTGCTGTTTTAAGTGAAAAAACCCTGATGTCTAGGGTCCTTCTGTTCCAGCACATAGGGGAACTCATAAAAGCTAGTTAGTTAACTCAGTGCATGTTAACAAAGGAAATTATCTTCATTGATTGGGTTCACATGCTGGTGTTGAGAAACACCAATTTAAAACTGAATCTACAGAAAATAGTTTACAAGAACTATTTTCACCCTCTAAATAGCCTTTACTTTAATTAGTCAGAAGAAAAATCAGTGTACTACTTAATTTCAGTACACATTTTCATTTTGGGTTAATTTGGGATATATAACCTACATATTAAATTTCTCCTTAGACTTGATAATTCATGAAGTTGATCAGTTCAAGCATTGGAAATGTGTGCACTGCTGCTTCACATTAAGTCAGGGACCTTACTCTCTTAGGTTTAGATTTTTATAGATGACACTTCTTCAGAAACTGCTCTTATTTTTGGGGTTATGAATGCAGCAGATTGACTGTTGTTGTGCAACCAAGCCAAACATCTAGAAATTACTTCTGACTGCCACTGTGTTTGTTCCCTTTATAAATTTGGCAGACTGAATGCCTTCCCAATTCCTGATTTGTTATATCAGTGTTTTATTCAGAGTTAATAACAGAAGATACTCTTTGCTTTTTCAGCTGTCAGGTGTCCTACTTAATGGTCAACACTGTCTCCTTTTCATTCCTGCCCTGCTGCTTTGAATTGTTGATTCTCCAGGGCAGACTTCCATGCATATAATTCCTATGCAGAGGGATAGCTTGCTCATTAGGGCCCATACAGCTTGTTGTAATAGCTAAGGCAGTAGGAGCTCATTTAATTTAGCTTTTGAGATCCCTACCCCCTTCCCCCAAGATTTACTATATGTGGTGATTTAAAGTCTGATATTTAACACTGATGGGATACGTAGTAATATCCTGTAGAATTACTTCTGAGATTTTTCATGTCTTATGGATCTATGAATTCTATTATTATAAGTTTATGAATCTTGGACCTAGTTCCAAGATGGGTGTTCAAAGCAAAAGTAATCACTGTACATTTGTAGCATCAAATACATGCTGCAATTGTGAAATGAAGGGAAAAAACTTCAAGCAAAATTGGGGAGTCAGCAAGTTTTCATGAGTGTGACATTTGAAGAATGAATGGGTAGTTCTTGAAATGCTGAAAAGTGGAAGAATATGGCATAGGTTTGGAAATTTGTTCAAACTGCTGAGACAATGAAAAGAAGATGAGAAATCCCATGTTCTCTTGCAGAGCAGTCTGTTGTGATCTTTAAGCATTAGGGAATTTTCTAGTAACAGGTCACTGATACATGTTTAATTGTGTTTTTCTCCACAGATCATTATTGTGCAGTTTGGTGGAAAGCCTTTCAGTTGCTCAGAACTCTCAGTTGAACAGTGGCTGTGGTCCATTTTCCTGGGCATGGGCACACTACTTTGGGGCCAGGTAAACTAGAATTTTTCAAAATGCCAAATATCTACTTGCAACAGTATACTTTAAATGGAAAAAACAAACACACTGTCTGTAGCATTCAGATCTTTCAAGTGGACTATATGAATATATGAAGACTAACAGTAAATATTAATTACAGTTGACCTCTTCAATAAATATAGAATATTGAATATTCCTTCCTCAGAGTGGGTCAGTTATTAACATTTCATAACTAGATCCTGTGGCTGGTTTGTTTAGCAGTTTTAGCTAGAAGCAGCTGTAGTTACCTTTGCAATATGAAATTGTATCTTCAGCCAGATATGAGTACCAGAAAATGTGGTAAGAATACAAGATGCAATGAACGTGATAATGTTAAAATATATTTAACTTGGTGCTTAAAGGTTTTCTTGAAAAATCAGAATTGCGAAATTTGACAGTATTTTCTTGATTTAAAAACCTGGAGTAGCAAAAAATGCAGCAAAACTCAAACTGCCTTTCTCTTTAATCTTTATTTAGTCTTCCCACTTAGTAAGCCATTACATTTGGACTTTTATTTCCTTTCCCCTCCCCCCAGAGTGTCATTACTATTGCATGCACAACAGTGCTTGTAAGCAGCAAGCTTATTTACATGAAACCTTATAGCTACAGAGTTTTCTATTATTTAATGACATAGTTGTCTAAACTTTTCATACCACATGAAGAGTTTTCCATTACAGTTTCTTTCCTTCCACTAAGTAAAAGACACTTCATGTTTCACCATAAAATGGGTAGGATGAATTTTAGTTGTAAATACATGCATAGACATGTTTTCTAAAAGTGACTAAGCTTTTTAACAAGGTTCTCTGGAAAATTAATTATTTAAAAAAATCAAGTAGAATCACTCTGAGGTGACTCCTAGAAGAAAATCGAGATGGCTTGAAATACCTTTGACCCAAAGTATCTTGCAAGGGCAAAGCTTCCCTACTGCCATTCATGCTGCTCTAGCATCTCATTAAAGTCAGAGCGCTTTAATTTTCTGAGAATAATAGAAACTGAAGTGTGAGCTGAGAGCATTCACAGTAGCAGTTTCAGCATAAAGGGCTGTTTATCTTGCTTTTGGAGCAGACTTTTTTCCTCTGCAGCTGCAGAAATGGTCTTCTAGGTTTGTGATGATCAAGGAAAGCAGTCTTGGAATTGATCTGAATGTGCTAGATATAATGTACCAAAAGATGACTCCCCTTAACCACACTTAGCTTTTTTTTAAGATATATAAATTGCTACACACCAAGTAACAAAGTAACGGCCTGAGATACATAAAATTTCAGAAACATCACTTGCCTTGGGAATGGATTGATATCTCCCAGGTCACAAATGAATGAATGTCTCTTCTGTGTTTCTGAATTAATTGTGGTTACTTTAGGTGATGGAGGTCCCACTTGAGGTGACACGTCATGCTCATCAAACTGATGAAACTCTAAAAGCTCTAGATACAAGTACAATCTACAGGATTAATGGCTTTTATAGCTTCAGTACTGCTCTTCCTGGCATTGTCAAGTAATGTTAATGTGGAATTCTTTGTCCCTGGCAAGGCTGTTTTGTAGTCCAAGTTTAATTTCGCACCTTGGTTGAGGTAGTAAGTATATTCACAGCTTTGCAGCTATTCAGCTGGGGTGATTGTTTTACACTGATGCACTCATCCTGTCTATGTAATTTAGTTTTTCAACTTTGCTAATTGTATGCAGGATATCTGTTAAGCCTTAAGACTGGTATTACTCTTTTTTTTTGTTGTTGTTAAACAAAGAATAGTCCTGATGTATGTATTTCATCCACTGTTAGTTGATTTCAACAATTCCAACCAGCCGACTGAAATTCCTTAAAGAAGCGGGTCATGGAACACAAAAGGAAGAAATTCCTGAAGAAGAACTAGCAGAAGATGTAGAGGAGATTGATCATGCTGAGAGGGAATTGCGTCGTGGTCAGATCTTGTGGTTTAGGGGCCTAAACAGGATACAAACTCAGGTATGGTCTTGAAAAAGGTAGGATTCAATGGGTGTTATGAGGGAAATTTCTCCATTTTTGACTAAGGTGACTGTTCTAACTGGTGTGACTGAGACTGTCAAAAGGGGGTATGGATGGATGTGTAATCCCTCAGGGTCCTCTGTTCTCTTCAGCTTTAAATGCAACTCTTGCCTGTTTATCTGCTCTGTTTTTAAAAAGTGCCTTTTTTTTCTTTACTTTTTGTGTGTTATAGATGGGATGGTCCTTTCTCTTGTTCTCTCTCTCTCTTGCTGAGCAAGCTGTCACAATCTCTGATTCCTTGCAGATGGATGTAGTGAATGCTTTCCAGAGTGGAAGTACCATTCAGGGGGCTCTAAGGCGGCAACCCTCCATCGCCAGCCAGCACCATGATGTAACAAATATTTCTACCCCTACACATGTAGTGTTTTCCTCTACTACTGCTTCTACTACTGTGGGGTGTGAGTGTGTGTTCCTAAAGTGCATGAAATTAACATTTCCTAATTCACGTACCTAACGTTTCTCATTTTCTCCTTAGTACTTAAAATCATCGTTCAGGCTTTTATAGAGCTCTTCCACAAAGTGGAGTCCTCAAGACTTTTTTTTCTTAGAGGGCTGAGAACAGGTGGAACAGTTTCAACAAAAGACTTTAATGCGAAAGCTGTGAGCCTGCACATCCTGTGCCTTCATCCATTCGTGTACAGAGGGATTTTTAAGATAAAGAGGGAAAACTGTTGTAAATTTTCGAGTATATGCCTCTTAGGGCGACTTGCATTGAATAAGTGAATTAACTGTATGATCATGGACCCAGGTCAACAAAAATAGATCTCCTGCACTGTAGCACAAGCAATACTTAAGTAAGCAAGCTGATTTGGATCAAATGGTGTGTTGAAGATATCAATGTAGTTAGAACATGGAGCACTAAATGCATTTTCTTTGTAGCCTGTAAGGAACTTTATGAATCTCTGCTTTCATTGGACCTTATTTACTGAATAACAACTTTTTCAACATCAGGATTCAGGTGGCGAAACAAGGCTTCTAAAATGCATACAAGTCAGAAGAAATATGAATTAGCTAATACAAAAAGGAAAAAAAATTAAGCATTAAATGGCAAACCTTTCACTCAAATCTGAAGGGTTCTTTTTCCTCTCTAGGTTCTTCTGGGAGCAGTTCATAAGCCATCAGTGACAGCGAAGTTTGTCTCACCTCAATTCTACCATCTCTATCTTGTGCTCTAAGTGGCATTTCAGTTTCAGCCTTCCTCTCTGTAGAGGCTGGAGATTTATTTACTCTTGGATGTAGGCCTAAACTCTGGAGCCAGAAGATGCATAGTAGTTGTAGTTGAATGCTCATAGCCAATATCTTTATTCAGAGCTTTCCATCTTAATACATGTTTAACTTTCTTCTCTAACTTCCTAGAGACGGGTTAAATAATTGGTTTTTTAAAATAACTCTGAGAGGGCTTCTTCTCCCCCTTCCCCTCCCTGCTTAAACTTTCAGATTACCAGATGGATGAAGATCCTTAATTTCAGGAGCTGTCTTAAGTGAAATGGTGAAATCTTCAGACTTTTTTTTTTAAAGTTATTTTTTTTATTATTTTTGGGCTTGCCCAGAATTCATGTTTGAGCTTACACAAGTATTTACCTCTGTATTTGTTCTTCAGTGGTGAGACAGGTATTTCCCTACCTTGCAGTAGTACTGAGAGGCTCGGCTCACAAATTTGCATGCCTCAAGAACACAAAATGAAAAGTAGATTTAACACTTAAGGATGCACAGGATTGCATCTCCTAGTTAAAATGCTAATTAGTAACCTGTATCCCTAACTACACTCCAGAACATTAATTAGACATTCAGAATTCTCTAGAGAGCAATGTCATTCCATGCTGCTATTTGAGCAGAATCTACTGGGCACTGCAGCATCTCATTGCATCAAATGACCAATGCAGATACAGAGCTACCATAGCAGAGAACTAGTTTTTTATCCTCACTATTACAGCCTTCTGCTACACCCTCCAGAAGAGCAGCTTTTTGAGAACTAATATAGATTAATGGGAAGCAGATGTGTTATTGTCTCTTTTTTGGAGCTGCTTGTTGGAAAATAGTTCCTATAAAGTAAGGTTGCAACTCTTAAGCAGCCATCTGGATAGGAGGATTTGGAGTGCCAACTGCATTCCTTGCTATTCTGGTACTAATATGAGGAGGGCCTGATGACAGTATGAATTACACTTAACAAATTGTCCTGTTTGCACCTCACTTACATGATTTATTTATAGTTATCCCTCTAGTTTAATTATCTTGAGTGGTTGAAAATAGAGCCTTCAAAACACTGGATTTTCCCTTTTGAAAATGCTGAAAGTTTGATTTCTGCCTTTGTGGCTGGACTCTTGAGGGTCCTGGCCTTGCTGTAGTGTCTAGTCCACTTGTGTAGTATGCGTTCTGCATGGGCACCAAGCCTTTATTGTGGGTATGCACATATTCTATGATAATTACAGCTGTCCTCTTAAGCCAGAATTGTTTTTCATTGCTGCTAATGTTCTAAATTCTCATCTGTAAGCAATGAACAAACAGTCCCATGAGACATTCATATTTCATTTTGCCACATAAATGGCACAGTGGGATGCAACATGCCGTATAAAGTCATTGCAAACTTTCAGTCTGGTATTGTCATTGCCAATTTTCTTGGTCGTGCCAATCCAGTTTAGGCAGCTGGCTGGACTTATTTAAACCTCGTATAATGTGTCAACTCCTTGCCAGTATGCTCAATTCTTTTCATGCAATGAACAGTGAAGTACTAGCTGCTGTTGTAATCTTTTCTCCAGCACATTCACTCTCTTTTCTGTCCTCCCCTTACTGGTAGTTATATCCTCCCCCCGATCGTTGCCCCGTCCCTGTTTCCCCTTATTCCCTGTGCCTTCTTCCCTTGCCTCCATGGTTAATTTGGCTCAGCATGTACCTGTAGTATAAAAATGGGGACATGATCACTTTGCAGTAAAATTCTTTGTGCAAGTGGTCTGAGGGTGCAGAGGTGGGGAAATGATGCTACTTCTAGAGCACAGTTGAGACATGAGACTTTATCATGTGCAGTGGTTCTATTTAACCAATTTGATTTAACACATTGCTTTTGGGGAGCTCTTCTCTGTTTACAGTGAACTTCCCTGGTGCATCTTAGCTGTTTTGAAGTCTCTGCTCTTGATCTGCTTGACCTTCCAGCTTAATTCCTTCACCTGGAAGTCACTTTATTTTTTCTGTTGAGGAACTCTGGAAGCACTAGTCACGATGTATTTCTCAGCTTGAAGCAAGTCATCTTGGATGCGCTAAAAAAAGCTTTAAATTTGACTTGCTGTTTGTAACAGCAAGTTCTTGTTTACTACGGAGTTGCTCTGCTGCTTAGTATTTAACACTATTTCACAGTGCTTTGCTGGAGACTTGCTCAGGGTAGGGATGTTGAGAATTGACTAAGGAGTCAACAGGAGGGGGAAAGTGTCTCGGGAAAAGTGTTGGATAAATGAGTGAATCACTTCTGCCTCACCTTACTTGTTTTATCAGTAACAAGATCCTCAATTTCTCTGGTTGATCAGGGAACCACGAGGCATGGGAGAAGGGGGTGTGGGCAGCTGGTTTCATCCTTCAAATAATAGTTAGGAAAGCTTAAATTCAAGTCAGCCTGGACGTGCACAATTTGCAAAATAAAGCTGTACTTTGTTTTGTATCTATTTTAACTATGAAAGGTTTATTTATGAATTCTGTTAGCTTAGCTTTCTGATTAAAAAAATATTAAACAACAAAAAACCATGAAACAGTCCTCAGCCTGGGAACTGTGTCCATGACTTCAGTGTGAATCGAAGACTCGCGCAAAGGCCGATCATCCTGCTTTTCTCATACTTGGCGCTACTTAAGTAGTGTCTTCAAAGATACAGCCTGTCCTGGCTACTGTACTGTACAATACAGTATTCAATTTCCTAGTTCTGGTCTTAAGTTTCCAAAGCACTGTTCACTAAGGAGCTTTCTCTAGAGTGGAAAATGGCTATATACTCGAATATTTACAGCTGTTACAGCGGTATCCTTTTTTGCATGACTTCGTAAATGTTCGTTCATTGTGACATTGGCTTACACTTGCTTGGCTTTTTCATAGTCAGTTGACATCCTAATTCCTAGCATGAGAATTAGTGACCCTTTTATCCCCTAACTTATTTTCAGCCTATCCCCTCCTTCCCTCCCTCCAATCTCACCCAAATATTCAATAAAACAGTCATTGAGATTTATTTAATTTTTGAATAAGTAAATATTTGTTGGCCTCACTTCTGAAAAATGCTTAGCCCATATTAAATAATTAAACAACTCTAGTGCCATGTCTGAATTTTAGGGCCCTTCAGCTTTGCAGTACTTTCACAATTTTTATTCCTACTGTGTAGACTGGCCGTGCTCTACTGAAATGCTCTTCATTTTTTACAGTTTATTGCAAGTTCCACTGCATCATACAAATTTGATTCACTCATGTCTAGCTGTTTGTGGATTCAAACTCATAAGAACCATGCCATTATCAGTAAATATGCAACATTTTAACAATACTTTTTCTTTGTTTACAGATCCGAGTGGTGAATGCATTTCGTAGCTCCTTGTACGAGGGGCTAGAGAAACCTGAGACACGAAGTTCAATTCACAATTTTATGACGCATCCTGAGTTTAGAATAGAAGACTCCGAGCCTCATATTCCCCTTATTGATGATACTGATGCTGAAGATGATGCTCCAACAAAACGCAACTCTAGTCCCCCTCCCTCTCCCAATAGAAATAACAATGCGGTTGACAGTGGAATTCACCTTACAACAGACAAGAACAAGTCTGCTACCTCTTCATCCCCAGGGAGCCCACTACATAGTTTGGAAACATCACTCTGATTGTAAGCTGAATGTTAACACACTAGCTGCATTGTAAAGAAATTGAAACTGGGTCTCTTCACACATTATGATGGACAAGATGATATTCTTGTCTTGGACTTCAACAGAAGAAACACTTGTACGAATGTAGATTTATTTTTTTAAAAAAAAGCTTTCTGCCAGACTGGAGGGTGCTTTTCTGGGGGTGGGAGTAATAATGAACTCTGACAGATAAACAGTAACTCAGCATAAGTGACCTGTGGATCATCTGTTGTACTAAGAATGGTCCTGAAGAGTGTGTTAGCAGAGCTTTAGTTTATCATGATCCTTTTCTGAGGGGAAAGCTGGGAAGGGCAAGGAGGCCCTGGATCATTGAATTGATACTTTAATTTCTGCTGTTGGCTGTTAATAATTTGGATTATTTATGTTTATAAATGATACAGATCTGTTTACAAGGTTTGTAGATACTTTTTTGTTCCTGTTCATAGATGGGAAGCTTCCTTATAAATGATGCAGAGAAGACGAAAAACAAAACAAAAAAACCAAAAAAACTAGTCCTTCAAATACTGCTGTATTTTCAGGAAAAGGGTGTTTCTATTGAAACTGTACTAAATTTTGCCTGCAATTTACCTTGTTAAATATTGTAGATAAATTGCTACTACTAATAGCCAAATAGATAACACTAATGCTTTGTAAAAACATGAGCAGTGGTGTTCTAATGAAGTTATGGCCTCTGTCCTAATTAGTTTCTTAAATACATTTACTACTTAATGGTTTTGGAACAACTGTTTAATTTTTAAAAATTTTGAGAAACTTAATGAATAACTTTTGTTCAGAACTTAGTAGGATTGTTTAATGCAGGACATCAATACGTGATGGAACTTGCTTGAAATATTTCTGTTATCTCGGGCAAAATGGATTAAATCAAAATACATCAGAATCTTAGTCCTTTGTTTTTGTCTAATCATGTTAGTTTAGTGCTGTCTTGGTGAACTGTGAGTGGAACTGTGATTTTTTTCTAATCTATAGAATCCTTCATGCAGCATGAGGGCTGTTGGCATTTTGAAAGGTTGTTAGTGGGTAGCATACATGTTCTCCTTTTTGTTTTTGAAACTTGTTTGTAAACATGAATAAATCTGCCCTTTTGTTAAAATAAAATTGCAGCAATGGTTTCTTACAGAATTTTTTTCTCAGCTCCTTCACTGGAAATACAGAAGGTACTCTTTTGTGTTACTGGTTATCTTTAAACTGCAATTTCAAGATGGTAACAGCCCCATTCCAAATAGCTCTTTGGGTAAATGGAATATCATGATGGCTGCCTCCAGAATGAATGTAAGTTAAGGTACTCAAAAGTCTTCACTGAGCCAAAAGGATACTCCTGGGGAATTAATAGGTCTGCCTGAAATTCCGAGACTTACTGTGAGTACCGTGTAATAAATGTATCTCTGACTGCTTAAGTGAGGGAGACTGAGAACTGACATAAAGCACAGGTGAAATGCACCAGAACTGATCGACTAGAGATTGACTGAAGAAGTTATGCTCTGCCTCTGCTGTATTGTTCAGACAGCGAAGGATGATGAAACAGTACTTGCTCTGGCACTTCCTCATGTTTGCTTGGTCCAATACTACTTAGAAGAGCAACAGAAGACATGAGTTGTAAGATCTTCTTTTTCCAGCTCTGTATTCTTAAAAATAGCAAACTGATTTTGTTTGTCAAATAATCCAGAATTATGGACATTTTTTAAAGTGGTCCCTTCAAAGGACTGCAAGAATTAAGTTGGTAATGAGGAAGGAGATAATAGTGGAGCTAACTGCAGAAATGAGCAGGTTGGGAAGCTCAAGCACATCTTTCCCTTGTGGTGGGGGTGCATGCATGCTTGGGATTGTCCTTTAGTGGATATTGTTCAACCTGTGGCACTGTATCCCACTGTCAACCACTCCTGAATTCCATCTTTTCTATTGTACTTCAGTAAATACACTGAATTCTAGGCAAGGGGGTCGAGGGTGGGGGGTTGCACTTGACACTTTGTATAGTGATTTCTCCCACACGTTTCTAGCACTTTTCTTACATCATAGTTCTTATCTAGAGTGCTTGGTAGGAGGGTCAGGTTTTATGTAAGCTATTTTCTCTTTACTACAAAAGTCAAATAAGCACTGGCTTAAAATAAAGGGAGTTTTCTTTATCTGTGAAGTACACTGCCATGTGGAAAAGTATCTTCATTTAACTTCGTTAATGAGTAATGATTTGACTTCATTTCAAAACAAACTTTAATTTTCCCCTCTTCTCTAGGTGTGATCATGACTGCATGTTAATCTTTTTTGGAATAAAATCTACACTTAAACCTTTTGTGGGGGGTGGGATGGTGAACGTAGGCTTTGTACATCGCTGGTCCCTCTTGATTCTGTTAACATCAGTGTGCTGTTCTTGCAGGACAAACATCCTTACAGAAATAAGGAAAAGTTGTTTAAGAGGGGGGTATGCTTTCTTTGTGATCTCAAGAAATCATAACATTGCCTAGATTATGAAATGGTTTTCACTAAGCTCATGAGGCCTTCATTGCCTTTCTGGTTGTAAGGTTTACTTGTCTTTCTTCTTGTAACTGAAATAAATAAAAGTGCTGTTCATCTCAGTCTGTATGGGGACTGAAATTCTTGAATGTCAGTACAGTACTGATTTAAACCTGAAATGCATGCCAGTTATATAAAACAGCTCTTGCTACAATTTTATGCTCATTTGCTTTGAAGAGGTCATGGTATATAGTGTGATGTATATACATGCTTGAGCGATAGTGACTTGGAACATAAACTCAGTTCTAGACTGAGCGGCTCTAAATGTGGTTTGGAGTGGCTTGAAATGTGGTTTCCTGGGTGGGATGTCTGCTATAGCTGTGTACATGTTAGGACACCTCAACTTGGCTCTGAAGGAGGGCTGAAAACAGTAATTAATATAAGAGGAAAATGCTGCATCATGGAGTAGTCTGAAGAGAATAATGGAAACAAATGACTTAATGCTAAATAAGTGGGTAAATGCAGGGGTCTATAGCAAGTACAAGCAGCCAAAAAATACGAAATAACACACTTGAAAGCTTTCTTAGAATAACAGCAAATTTTCCAATGTGTTTTGAAGTAAGCAAGCAAATGTAATATTCATGGGAGCATAACTCGTGGATACTGAGTATTGGAAAGTGATTCCAAAGGCCTGATAAGTTCAATTCCTACTGCTAGTAGTTCTAGCCTCTGCAGAGCTCTAGAATAATCCAGATCATAGTAAGCAGTACATAGATTAAAGTAGAATATATTAATGTCTTTACTACTTTTCTGATGCAAATACTTGGTTTTCAAGAGTTGCTTTTTTCCACCTGGACTCTCTCCCCCAGCAGTGCATTTCTTCTGATCTTAACAGATTTCAAGCCCTCACTGAAGCACCTTAAATTTGTTGGTTGAGCCTGGCCAGCATGAAGGGTGCAGCTCCAATTTATCTCCAGACTTATTAGGCCTGCTTATTCAGGACCATGTAATGAGAAATTCTGGGCCAGAATAAAGAGCCTTATAGCTGTTCCTGCCAATCTTCTTCCCTGAACTTTATCCAGAATACCTAGCCACCTTTCTCAGGAGGTTGCAGCATCCATTAAGGAGATATGACTTAGTTTCTTAAACAGAAGCCTCCTACAGGTACTGCTTGTCCTTTGTGCTCAAAGATGAGGGTTTGCCAAGAAAATGATTGGATGGGCTTAGACAGCTGAGACAAGACAGCATGTAAAAGGTAGCACACTGGATAGTGACCCTTTACTACTGTTATGTACAACTAATGTAGAGGTTTTTTACAAAATCTATCAATTAGCAGTTTGAAAAGGGTTCCTTGGCTTGCCTTGTGGGAATTTAAACGTGGAAGAATAACTAATAGGAGTATTTCTGGGAATTAACAGCTTTTGGTGGAAGTGTACATTCTGGAATACTGGAACATCAGCTCACATTCTGGAGTAATGACAAGTGTCAATCCAAACCTGAAGCAGCAGTTGCTCACTGAAATGGAAGTTTGCATTCTGGATGCCTTTGAGCCCTTGCACATGTAGCAGTATCTAACTATTCTGAACATCTTCACTGGCTGCCCTAGGCTGCCTCTCTTGCAGGCCATGAAGCTGAATTATGCTGAAAGACTAAGTATGATCATACAGAAAACTCTTCTATGTCTTCCTCCTTGGCAAAGGCACAGTCTTGGATTCACTCTATGGCAACTGCTCAGGCACAGAATGAATAGCAGCTTTTCCTGTTTTAAAGCTCTGTCTTTTGTAGAGAATTAGGGTGTATGGTTCAAATGCTTTGTGTGAAAAACCTCCCAAAGCTTTTGATTTAAGATACAATAAAAACCACAAAGCCACTCTACAAATAAACCCTAGAAGATATGTTTTTTATCTTTGACAATTTCAGTATTACAAATACAGGATTTAACTTGGCTTTCTCAGTTTTCCACAAGTTGGTTGCTCTGATGGCTGATAGGTACAAAATCTCTTCAGTTATGACCTAAGGTTGTTGCAAGATCTGAAGGTAAGCCTGTATTTGGCAGATATTTGTGGGGAAATACATAGCTTATTTTGAATACTGTGCTGGCAGCTACTGCATAGTGTTTTGTGCTATTTTTTGTGTATTTTAGGAGAGAATGCAAAATGAACAATTTACAAAATTCCGATCCATGCAATAGGACCTGTAAAAGCATACATGAGTCTGGCACAGAATGCTTGAAATAGGAAATTCTTCCAACTGATATTTTGGTAGAAACCAGGATTTTGTTTTGGACAACACTGCTTTAGAGATGGGAAGATTTCTCTTTAATCACTTGCCATGTATTGACCATTAATGTTCTGATCAGTGCAACAATTTAATTCATTGAGGATCATAATTCAAAAAGCATTCTAATAAACAAGTGATTTTAAATTAAAAAAAAAAAAACCTCTGGAAAAGGTACTTTTTTGTCATATTTTAATTTCCCCAAAAAATGGGTCATTCTTAGCTTCTTTCCTTTTGCCAAATCAAGTGGGCTCTGCTCTAATAAATCTAGCAGTATATAGACATAAATTACAACTTGGTAACTCCTTCCTGTCTTCACCCTTCCAGTCTGCCAAGGGTGATTACAGGGAATCAGTGAAGGACAGATGGGGTAAGATGTGCTGTTGTGAATTTGTCTCTTTTATCATATTTTTATCTTCCCTTTTGATCTTCTCTTCTGCTTTCTTCTTCAAGCTCTCACCCACTCTCAGTAAATTTTGGGAGTACTTTTTATATGGTAGCATCTTTTGGTGCTGTAGCCCAGAGCAACTCATAGGAGAGCTCTTTCAACACGATCTGTGGAAAGAACTGGCTTTGGAAAAATAAAGAATGAAAGAGAGACAGACAGCTTTTTTTCCCAATTAGAAAAACAACAGCATGAGTTTCATTATGAAGCTTTTAAGCCCAAAATAATTTTCAGGCCAAATATCACCAGAGTGGCTTGGCTGGTTACCTAGCCCATAAAGATTCAGAACATAGCTAAATTGATGCCATTATAAGAAATGAGTTTCTGATTTTCCTGGCCAGTCAAAAGTGACAGCACATGAAACTGCCTGACCACAAGAAAACACAGAGAGGTTAGGGAGTCTTCATCCTTGGAGACACTCAGAACTCAGCTAGACACAGCCCTGAACAATCTGCTGCAGCTGATGCTGCTTTTAGCAGGGGTTTGGAGTAGATAACCTGCAGAGGCCCTTGCCAACCTCAGTACTTCTCTGATCCCGAAATTCTTGAGCTGGAGGTGTAATTCTATTGGGTTTATTCATTATCCTCACAAATACTATTTCTATACGTAGATGGAATTCAACAAGACATCAGTTGCTGGAACAATCAAACCTAAAGCAAAGCAAGGAAGCAATTCACTGTTTTCTTTCTCTTATCTTAAACTGACCTGACCAAAAGGCTTGCTGATATTTGCCTGCTGTAATGTTTACTGTGATAGCAGAGCTTGGATCACTTCTGCTCTAGTCAACCTTTTTGAATGATGACTGACTATTTGTAGTTCATAGGAAAGCCCACAGATTTTAACATCACCTATAGAAAGCTGCAGACCTGTGGAAATCAGCTTCTCTTCAAGGAGAAGATTTCTCTATTTGCCTCTTTCAGGTG